TTAGATGTAGCAATATGAAGCAATATCTTCAGCACCTTGCAATATTCTTCCACAAATGGACTTTTATTGCAATCCCCCATGGTTCATGTGGAAACAAGAAGATATTCTTTCAGAGGAAAAGCCTATTGAAAGCAGAATCAAGTAAAAGACATTTAATTCAATGGTACATTGCCTTAATGTGAGAAACAGGAATATGACACTTGAAACTTGTGCTAAGAACAAGAGTGATATGAAGCCTAACCTATGTTGTTTAAGTTCCCTTTTCTATTTTTGCTGGTCTATCAATGCCTATCTCTAGCTGTGTCAAACATACAATAGAATTTTGACCCTGCAGGCCCTACAGTCAGGAGGAGCTTTCCTTTGGACAGTGTCAGTCAATCCAGAAGTCTCAGAGCAGATTTCTGAAACAGGCTGTTGAAGGAGGCTTGATTGGGCAGTTAACATTAGCAGGTTTCCTTTGAGCTAAAATAGCCTTAGGGATGGGGAGAGAGGAGACTACGAACTCTTTCCCTCCCCTTCTCCCCATCATCTCTTTTGTTTAGTGATATTTAATTTAAAGGTATGTTTATTTTTGTTCTGGTTTCAACCAGCACCTGGTGAAAGGGGCATTTCCATGCATGTTGCTGTTAAACAGAAAGAGGAGACTGTCTGTGAATCTGTGGATTTTCGTGATTTACAAACTGAAAGAACAGAGTTGTTTTAATTTGCAGTTCTCTAATCCTTAGTGATTAGGAGCATTTTGTCCTATGATCATTGACAGTTTGGATTTCTTCCTTTAAAAACTTCCTGTTCATATCCTTTGACCTTTTGGAGAATGGCTCTTAATATCTGAAATTGAAATCAGTTCCTTATGTGTCTTACATACGCAATATTCATTAAAGAACTTCACTACAAAGATGTTTTCCCTCACTTAACTGTTACCCTTCTAATTTAACTACATTAGATTGATTTGTGCAAAAATATTTTAATTTTATAGAGACAGAATTATCCCTTTTATTTTCTGTGACCCTTTCTGTGAATTCGATCATGACCTCTTCTTCTGCCCGTGGGTGTGAAAATAATTTCCTCCTGGCTCCTCTAATTTGCTAATGATGTCCCCTTTTATATATAATTCTTGTATCTTTAGATTGATTTGATCTGGGGTGTGAGGTGTTGATCTCCTATCAAATTATTGCCAAACTGCTTTCCATTTATCCCATCACTTATGTATCAAATGTGAATTTACCCACGGACCTAGGGAAGGGAGGGAGGAAAGCAGAAAATGGTTTGTATGCCCGTAGAGTGAGGGAGCCATCACCCAGGTCAAGGACACATAGTGGCCAGGGACAGAAAAGCAAGAACAAGAGGACAAACATGTGAGTCCTGGGGCAGGGCCTGGCTGGAACCAAGAAGAAGACACATGGGGGCTGGACACGGACACAGACAAGAGAGGACGGTGACATGTGGGATGCCAGTGAGAGACACATGGTAATGGAGTGTGGATGAAAAGAAGGCACACATGTAGGGGCCAGACAGGTGGCAGGTGGGCAGAGCAAGGCAAGGTCCCAAGCTGGGAGGCCATCAGTGAATCTTTTACTGCCATGATGGATGGCACATTTGTTCCTTCTCCTGACTCAAGTCTTGTCACCCCAGCTGGTTGACACAGCTTCTTATACATGCTTTTCTGCAGTCAGCTTCCCCATTAATTTCTCTCTCTCTCTCTCTCTCTCTCTCTCTCTCTCTCTCTCTCTCTCTCCTTATCAGTCTCTTTCCCTCTCTCTGTCTCTTATTCTCTCTCTTCATCTGTTTCTGTCTCTGTGTGTCTGTCTCTCTCTCTGTCTCTGTCTGTCTCTCTGTCTCTCAGTATCTCTCTGTCTCTGTGTGTGAGTGTGTGTCTCTCTCTCTGTCTCTCTCTCCATGTGCATATATGGTTATGTGTGCATGTCTCCTCTTGGCTGGGGGTTTATAAAAGCCTGATAAGGATACAGCAAGAGGGAAAGCAGGATTGAGGTTACCTTGGAAACAGACTAGTGACCATGGCAACCAATAATTGAGAACAGCTGCCTCCACCCTTGTGGACCCTGAATACAGCAGAATATCTGTCTATAAAGGGTAATTTTAGAGGCACAAAACGTGTCCACTCCCTCATCCCCAAGTCTCTCTACCACCAACCTGTAAATTCTACTCATTCACTGTGAGATAATGGAAAAGCCTCTATTTTTCTATTTGGAACCAGCAAGCATGGCTCCCTGCCCACTTTCCCCCTTGGTTCTCCTCTCCTTCTGTGTCTGAATCAGCATTGATGACTTTTTTTTGTTTATTTAGAGTGTGAGGGGAGAATATGGAGGCTAACCTAGGCATAGTCTCTACAAATTTGGGGATCCCTGACATAGTGCCCACGTGGAATACAGCATACTTTCAGGGCTCCTCATACCTACCCTGCCCATTCTTCTAAAATAACTGGACAGAATCTGTGTCTGACACTTATTGAAGGGAGGTGGGGGGATGATAGCATTTGGCAAAGTCTCTGTAGCATGAGGAGATCCCAGAAAGGACCCCAGGCAAGAACCCACAAGCCAGTTCATGCATCCCTACTGGGACTGTGGAGGCTGGTTAGGGAGGAGTTCTGAGGGAGGGCATTGAGGACTACTGTGCTTCTCTCCTTTCGATTCATCTGGATCCTGCCTTGCTTGGATTCTCTGCTTTTTGTTCTGAATGCTGGATGTTGGAGCAGGATGCTGACAAAATCTGTGCAGAAGGGGCAGATCCCAACATGGCCTCCAGGTAGGGGCCCTGCCCTTTAGACGCAGAATTCATTGTCCATGAAGGTTGCATCAGCTGGTCTCAATTACCAGTCGCCATGGTAACTGGTCTGTTTCCAAGGAAACCTAGAATCCTACTGGCCCTCCTAGTAGCTCTTTATCAGGCCTATATTCTGATCCATCAGCTGGGAAAGGAAGTGGGCTTCTTCCCCTCTTTGAGCACTTAGGTGAGCACAGATGCTACAAAACAACAGGAGACACACATGCAGATATAAAACCATTCAGAGCCATAGAAAGATTCACAGAAAAGATAACTGTAGAACAGGAATGATATAACCAGCTGAGGTAACAAAACTTGGGTCAGGAAAAGGAATAAATTACCATCTATTATGCCTGTCAAAGATTAATAGATCTCCTCCCAGCCAATTGCCAGTAAGTCTCTCCTTAGCCCAAATACATGGCATAATTCTTGAATTTCCCAAGGAAGTCTCTGAACAGTAAGAAGCGCTATGAGATCACAAGGGCCTTGAGGATAACAAAGTACATTGGGTCAAGCCTGTATAAAAATCAGATGGACAAAGTGATCAATAAATAAAGTGAGGCATTTATTCAGGGTCAAGGAATGAACAACATAGTCTTTCTCAGACAGGGAAGTCCAGTGAGGGGAGTTACAGACAGAGGTTATATACACTCAGAAAGGGGGTGGCTAGGTAGTAGATGGAACAGAAGATGGTTGGCAAGTTATTTATTGCAGAGTGTTGGCACATTCCTAGAAAAACCACAGGACTGGTTTTAGGCCACTTCTAGACTATAGAGGCAGACAGGGTCACCTGTAGGGTCAACAGAATAGTTGGACTGCAGGAAAGGAGGGGATGCAGAAGTGTTCTTGGAGCTCTCTCTGTCTAGGAACAAGGGCAGTTAGAAACTGCTGGTCACAGCAGAGATCCCCAGGAGTTTACCTTGGGGGTAGAAATTGATATCTATAACAAACTAGATCTATGTATGTGTAGAAATATATATATATATATATACACACACATACATATAAATCTAGAAGATAGTCACATAGAAACAGTTTAGAAGAAGAAATCCAACATAGGTGATTTAGATGCTTTAATTCTACGAGGAATAAAGAATGGCTAAATAAGCATAAGGGCCATGAATATATTAAGGAATGTTAAGGAGTCTCCTGAACTTGTCTTTTTGAGTTGCCATATTTTCCAGAAACCTTGGACTTGGCACATGCAGGAGGAGGCCCTGAATGTGTCAAGGACAAAGGCCCCCCTCCCCTGAAGCTGACGTGATGTGCTGTTTTCATCCCAAGCTGGACTCCCTGTGTGTCCTTGGGGGTCAAGACAGGCACCAGTCAGTCTGCACTTGACGGGAAACTGTGTACACAGCTGGAAACTTTGTAGATAAGCAGACCATCTATCTTCATGGTCTAATGGTTACCAAGAGAAAAGAATGCAGCTTTTGCCATTGTCTTGCTCCTCCCCCGCCCCCCAAGAAGGATTTTGTCTTTTTCCCACCTTTACTGCACCTTTTCCCCTTCCTGTGCCATTGCCCTTTAGAAGGAGATTTCTGGCTTTTCCTCCTTCCTTTGTTGTACTACTGTCATAAATATGCAAACTTCTATGTGGAGTGGGAACTTTATGCCTTTGCTTAGGATTCCACGTGCATGATCATTCCTCTTGTAATAAACCTAGTTTTCACATAAGTGTCATGAAGTTGTGATTGCCTGATGACAAATAAAAGCCCAGAATAGAAAAAGGTAAAGATAAGTAATGAAGAAAAAAAGGGAACAAAATCCTTTTATAAAAAATGAAATCTTAGAAACTCATGAATAAAGATGTTGAAGGGGGAAGACAAAGAGAGAGTCACCCTGACTACTTAACTAGGAGAAAATGAAAAGGGAAAGAATTTAAGAACCAGATAAAAGGAAGGCCAAAATAGGAACTAATAAGCAAAACTACAAAACCAGGGAAAGAGAAAACAGATGAGAGAGAGAGCTGAGGGAGAGAGAAAGGTTACTGAGAATAGGATTGCCTTTTTAAAAAGACAATTGAAATAACTAAAGAGACAGCATTCTATGTATAATGAATAAGAGGGAAAAAATTCCTGATTTGAGAAAAAAAAATTAGAGAAGAAGGAAAATATTAACCTAATGTTCATAACTTTAAATGTGAATGAATTAAAAATATCCATTTAAAAAAGAGTGACAGATTTGATAAGAAAACAAAGCCACCACAATCTATTGCTTAAAAGAAACATTAAAAAAAGATATCCAGAAGAAAAAGAGGGCCTACACATTTGCTATGCATCCTGTGAACCTATAAAAGCAGTAGTTACAATCCTGCTCTATGAGAAAGTAAAAGCAAATCATCAAAACATTAAAAGTTATAATCAGAGAAACCACATTAGACTGAAAGAAACCATAGGCAATAAACCAAGGTCAACATTCAACTTCTCTGCTCCAAATACATTCATCTACGTTCATGAAAGAAACATTAACTGACCTAAAAGAAGTCATAAACAGTAACACAACAGTGGCAAGAAATTTCCAAGTCCTCTCAGCTTCAGATAAGTATAAAGGAAAGACAAACAAAGAAGAATACAGAAATGAATAAATTATTGGAGAAATTAGAGCAAAAGGACTTACGGTGCCTTTGAAATGGGCCTGTTTTTTTGAAAAACCGCTATCTCAGAATGGCTTGGGGGTTTTCTAACACTGTGCCATGTATAAAGGCTCTGAGATATTGCCGACAAATGAAAAAATGCAGAAATAGTAACTAGATCCTTCACAGACCAAAACACAATAAAACAATCAGTTCAGGAACAACAAAGTAGGGACAAAGGCTCAAATGGAGACAACAATGAAATCCTAAGTAATGAGTGTGTCAAAGGCTATATTGCAGAAACAGTATCTCTAAGTAAATGTCCTCCTCTGAAATGCTGACTGACCTATGGGTGCCCCATCTCTTCTGGTATTAAACCTACGCTACCAAGGGACTGGCCTGAGTCAGGCCTAGCTTAGACCACCCTACCTTAATTCTATCCCTTCTCTAATCTGTCCTTTACACAACTGCCAGAGTGATCCTCCTAATGCACAGTTCTGGCCACATCGCTGCCTCTGCTCCATAAATTCCAGCGGCTCCCTATTACCTTTGGATTGAAATATAAATTGCTCTATTTGGCACTTGAAATTCATCCCAATAAGGCCCAAATCAATCTTTCTAACTTTATTATATGTTCCTCCCCTTTATGCTCTCTATGGTCCAGCCACATTGTCCTTGCTTTTCCTCACACAAGATGTTGTATCTCCTCTCTGTGATTCTGCACAGGCCATCCATCATGTCTGAAATGCTCTCCATCCTGTCCTCTGCCTCTGATAATCCCTAGTTTCTTTGAAGGCAAGAGCTCAAATTCCAATGTCGATATACAGCCTTTCCTAATTTTCCCCAGCCCCCGAGTGCCAGTGCCTTTCCCCTCAAGTTATCTTACATTTATGTATCCATTTTGTATGTCCTTCTATATGCACCTGTAGTCTCTCCCAAGAGACTATAATCTCCTTGAGGGCTTGCACTGTTTCCTCTGATCCTTTGTCTTCTCATTGCCTAGTAGGATACTTGGCACATGCTCAATGTTTGACAAATGATGGATTGATTGGTTTAAATCTTTGAATGTTCATGGTCTGGAGGAAGAATTAGATTTGTTCTGTTTATCCTCAGCAGGCAATGTTAGAAGCAATGGGTGGGTAGAGTTTTATCTCAATCAGTAAGGAAGACATTTCTAATTATTACAGTTGTGTGGAAATGGAATGTGTTGGCTTGTGAGTTAGAGAATTGCTCATCACTTTGGCATTCAAGTAGATGCTGGATGCCCAATTATTTGGCATGTTGTAGAGAGGATTGGCATGGAAGATGGAGAATTTGGAGTCTTGTATGGAGTTCTGAGCCCCACAGTTCAGGAAAATCATTGATAAGTTGTACAGCATCCAGAGGAGGACAGGCAGGGCCTTGAGTTCAGTCATAGGAGGATCCACTGAAGGAAGTACAGATGGAGAAGTAGCCTAGAAAAGAGAAGGCTCAGGTGGTGACACGATAGACATCTTGTAGCATTAGAAGGACCAACAGGAAGAAAGATTAAACTTAGCCCTAGTGAGCAGAACTAGGAACAGTGGGTGAAAGTTGAAGAGGCAGGTTCTGTCTCAATGGGCAGAAGAAATTCCTCACCTCTGGAGCTCTCGTAAAGTAGGAAGGGCTGTCCTGGAAGGTGGTGGCTCTCCTGTCATTGGTAGCCTTCAAATTGAAGCACTTGTTAGGAAATATTGTGGAGGGAATGCTCATGTAGGTTGGAATAGTGGCCTGAAATCCCTTCCAGCTCTGAAATGTTGTAATTCTGGAGTGCAGGGAGGAGGGGGAACACAAAAACCTATTACTCAAGTCAATCAATTAATTAAATACCTATTTCTAAAGAGTAACATTCGCCTAGTTTTCAGTAAAATGCAATATCCAGTATCACCAATAGATGTCAGGGAAACACCAGGTTATGTTTCTCAATGGCAATTAATTGTTCAAAAATCATTTTATTATGCTCCTATTTTATATCCATCCCTGTCCTAGGTGCTGAGGATACAAAGACAAAGAACAAGCAGCCCTTGTCCTTAAAGAGCTTACATCCTACTGGTGGATGCAGCAGGTACATGTAAAACATATAAACAAAAAATAAACAGAATGCAAGTTAATTGCAGGAATGGGAGTAAGAGTGGGGGAGATCCAACCTTGGTGTGAGTGGGGGTGAAATACGAAAAGAAAAAGCCTCACAGTGGCACTGAGGAAACCAGGGATTTTCAGAGGCAGAGGTGAGGATAGAATGCACTCCATGCATGGGAAATGGCTTTTGCAAAGGCATGTAAATGGCAAATATTTTTACATGTGAAGTTTTATGTGTGATACACAGCAAGAAGGCCAATTTGGCTGAATTATAGAGTACATGAAGGGGAATAATATCAAGGCTAGAAAAGGAGAGCATAGTCAGGTGATGAAGAGTTTTCAATGACAGAGAAGTTTGTATTTAATCCTAGATGAATCAGGTAGCCACTGGAGCTTATTGAGCAGGGAATGGACATGGGCCCCAGGAATATCCCTTTGGCAGCTGGGAGGAAGATGGACTGGAGAAAGGAGAGATTAAGGCAGGGAGACCTACTAGGAGGCTACTCCAATATCCCAGGTAAAAAGTGATGAGGTTGTATGAGTGGAGACAAGAGGAGAGATGCAAGACATGTTGTGTAGGTGGTAAAGACAGGGTTTGACAACTAATTGAATATGGGAACTAAGAGAGACTGAGAAGCATGGGCTACCCCCACAAAAAAAAGAGAAGCATTGGCTAGAGATAGATTCTATCTAGAGATAGGGGGGAGAGAGAAAGACAGAGATAGAGACAGAGACAAACAGAGACAGAGAATATAGAGACAAAGAGAGACTTTGTTAAGTATATCCCAGGCCCTGTGCTAAGCACTGAGGTTCACATACTCCCCCTGACCTCCCTGCTCTTCCTTTCCATTGTAAAAGCTTTTTCTTGCCTCTTTTATGTGAGATAATTTACCCCATTCTACCTCTCCCTTTCCCTTTCTCCCAGTACATTCCTCTCTCACACCATAATTTTATTGTTTTAGATATTATCCCTTCATATTCAGCTCACACCTGTGCCCTCTGTCTATACATACTCCTATCTGCCCTAATAATGAGGAAATTCTTATGAGTTACAAGTATCATGGTTCCCATGTGCTAAGCACTGAGGAAGCCAGGACAGTCCCTGCCCTCAAAGAGCTCACTTTCTAGAGGGGGAAGGGAATCTGGAAAAGGGAGGGAGCAGCAGCACAGTTTACAGTTGATAGCTAGGAAATGAGGTGGAATCTTGGTTCCAAGCAAGATCAGGTGGGAGCTCACCTATCAGAAAATGACTTTGAGGAGGCAACCCTGGGTGACTGGGAGGATGATGGTATCCTTAACAGGGAAGGTCAGAAGAGGGTGGGTTTGGGGAAAGGATAATGAGGTCTGTTTTGAACAGGTTGAGATTATAGGTAATCAAGTTTAAAATGACACTTGATTGGCCTTTTCCCTTCCTTTTGTAAGGAAGTGGAAGAGTGAGTCCCCACATGAAGCCTGTGTGCTAGGTCACAACAGTTAAAGTCCAGTAAATCTAGGTTTTTAAATGAGTCAGAGTGAAATATTATGATTTCGATGTGCGATGGTCCACGAAGTATCGTCTAATCTGAGTTGGCCAAGAGACAGTGCTATTAGTCTTCCTTGTCTGTTCTCATTTTGGACACAAGGTGTCACTAGAAGGCTGTACTATATTTTAAAATGACAATGAACTGACCAAAAAGCAAGTGCTGGGGACACCAAGGCAAAAATGAAAAAGTCTTTCTTTGCTCTTAAGGAGCACTTATCCTATTTCTAGAGATAACATGCTTTTACATATGAACATATACAAAATATTAAGAAAATGCTAGTGACTTGGCTGGGGAAACCTTTTTCTAACACCTAAGGAGATAAGGAATAACCACATGTAGGAGGTTTCCTTTGAGCTGACCTTTGAAGGAAACTAGGAGTCCTACTAAGCTGAGGAGAGTCTGCACTGCATTCCAGGGATGGGGGACAACCTGGGAAAAGGCACATTGTTGTTGTTTGTCCTTCATTTCCAAAGAAGACCAGTGAAATTCCAGGGTGATGTATCAATTTTGACATGAGTTGGATTTAAGTGGGGCAAAGTTGAGTAAAGTTGTCAGCCTCGCTCTCTCTTCCAGAGTCATTGAAGTCCAGTGGCAAAACAAAAGTCAGGAAGACTCGTGGTGAGGAGGTCTAGAGGTTTTTGGGGTGCTGCTGGAGCCCCAAGATCACGGTACCAGGCCCTGTCTGAAAGAATTCAACTCAAATCTTCTTCAGCCAGAGGAAAAGTTTGTTAGTGATAACACATATAGGCCAGGTGTCACCCGTAAGGACAAGTGGGCATGAGAGGTTCTCAGCCTTTTCAGTGTGAGATTCTCAGCCCCGAATGAGGGCCAGGGTAGATCTTATATACTTTGGGTGATCAGGGAAGGGTCTGGGAAAATGGTCTGGGAAAAGGGTCTGGGTGAGAATTACCAGAGACTGGAATGTCTAAGAGATTGAATAGACAATGGGAATAGATAATGAAGGAACTGAAAGGTATCCTAATGAAATTAAAAGGTAGGCTAAGGCTTTCAAAGGGAGATGAGGGGCTGGGGCCTGTAGACAAAAGGGGAGCCAGATTCCCTTTAGGGCAAGGGGCAAAGACCTTGGCTTGGGCTGTACCCCATCATTCCCCCCTCAAACAAATCTGAACCAAATTCTTTTGGGGAAAGGGGCGAAGGTCTGGACTTCTGAAACCGCTTCCTGCTGGCAAGGGGCGTAGAACTGTCCCTGCCTCTCTGGGTCCTGTTTGAGGGGTCAAACTTCAAAAACCCGGCTGATGCCAGGGTCAGCAGGGCAGAATCCTCGGTTGGTGTGCAGCCTGAGCAGTCATCTGAAAGTTGATGGCTCCAACCCTAGAAGAAAGGAATCTGGCAAGGATATTTAGTAAACATGGATGAAACAAACACAAAAATATGATCAGTAGTTGAATGAGAATAGGAACCAGTATAGAAAGAAGCCAGGACTCCCATGAAAAAGATTTTGGAGCACTAAAGTTATTGTGAATTTCTTGCATCCAACTAGCTTTCTCCAAAATATGAGCAGTGAAGAACTCTATCTGCCCGAAATTGTTATACGTGCAACAAAATGTGTTTGCTAAAGCACATACACTCCCACTGGAGGCAAGCAAGTAGTCTAGGGCTATTCTGTTATCTAAAACTACTTTTGCTAAGGAATCCAAAGACTGCTGGATTTCCCGGAGACCATAAGCTGTCACATTTGCCAACTGGTGAATACTCTCTGTCAGGTTAGACAGAATATATTCATGTTGTAGGTTATACCAGGGCATAAGATAGTCTGCTCCCTTTTTAAGAGACCAGAGGACATTTCCCCAAAATCCATGTTTTGCCTTTAAGTTAGAGACTGTGGGCCGTTTGGCATTGAAAATGGAGAAGGGCGGTGCTGAAAATCCGAGGGTGCACACCCAAAGTCTTTGTAGGGTGTCAAACATTGAGTGACCAAAACAGTAGTTCTGGGGCTTGCCATGTGTTGGCACTTCGTTTCACCTTTCCCCAAAATTCTTGTCACTAGTGGTGTCTGCACAGGTAGTGCAGGTCAAAATTAGCAGAAACTCTAACAAGCCCTCCCTCCACAGGGGTGTTAACTTGTCTAGTAGCCTTGGAGCTTGTCTCCCAAGTAAGGGAATATTCCCCTGTGGAGAAGCAAGGTGTAAATATACAAAGAGTAGCCCATAGAGAAGTGGCAAGCATAAATGGAGTAGCATAAACTTCTGAGAAAGTCATATTGGGAAGGGGGGCTTTGTGGAGATGAGCAGCCACTGTCAGGAAGCTTGCAGGCTTTCCAGCGGCTCCTAAGGACCAGGTTAGGGGTGTGGAGGTCAATTTAGATTTTAAAATCACAAAAGTTTGGTCTGGGCCCCACTCTTGAGGGAGTGAGTCAGGGCCCAGAGGACTGTCATAAAGGGGCTTAACAATCAAACTATTATTAGGGATCCAGAGTCTACAAAATCTATCCATGCCTAGAAAAGTTCAAAATTGTTTCTTGGTGTCTGGGACCGGGAGTTTGTGGCCCAGAAACTTTACAGACTGGCATGCTATCTGGACTTTGTTCAAAGAGACCCTATAGCCTTGAGTTCCCAAGAGATTAAGCACTCCTGAGGCAGTGGACAAAGAAGCCTCCTGGGTGGGGATACAAATACTGGGAAGGGAAAATACTTTAGGGTCTCTGAGGTGAACAACAGCTGGGGTGGCGAAAGTATCCCAAATTGTCTCCCACACTTCCAGGGGAAAGTGGGGATGTCTGGCACACAGAGGGAAAAGGGAGATGGGAGGCTTAACTAGAGAAAATTGGCTCCCCACCTTCACCATCAGGTTCCTTCCCAAAGAGGGGGCAGGGCAAGAGAACACAAGAGAGGAGGGTTTAAACAACAGATTCTCAAATAGGCAGGGGGAGGGGTATGTCTGGAGACATCCCTCAGTTACCTCTCCAATGCCCATGACCGGATGGGTCAAGGAGCAAATAGGGCCAGAGTAATTGGTTAAAGCAAAGAACATAGCCATGATATAGTGGGTAACCTTACCTTCAGCCTCAATTTCTGCCCAGGGCTTGGCGAGGGAGATGGAGAAAGTGGGAGCATTGCCTGGACCCAGGTTCCTTTGTCCTCCCCAGTCTTGAGAAGACTGGAGGACAGGGTACTGGGGGGCTGCTCTATCACTTCTCCTACCTCGGGGGCAATCCTTCTTCCAATGTCCCTCCTGGTCACATCTTGAGCAAAGTCCTGGAGGTGTCCATCTTGGGGGCTTCCTCCAAGGGGGCGCCCTGGAGGGGCACTCCTTGGACCAGTGAGCCTCCCAGTGGCCTCCCCTGCCCAAGTCGCTGGGCTTCCTCTGAGAGGGTGCCCTGGAGGGAAACTCCTTGGACCAGTGACCCTCATGGTGGCATCGAAAGCAGGTTTTCCCACTGCCCAAGTTGCCAGGAACACCCTTGGGTCTTTTCCTGACCATGGCAGCAGCCAAGAATCGAGCATGTTCTTTGTCTCTAGCCCTCTGCCTGCGTTCTTTCTCCTCTGCTGCAACTAGGTCCCTGTTGTTAAAGACTCCAAAGGCAATCTCCAATAACTGAGCCTGAGGTGTTTGGGGTCCCATTGCCAATTTCTGTAGTTTCTCCTAATATCTGGGGCAGACTGGTTAATGAAATACATGCTAAGGATTGCTGCCCCTTCTGTAGAGTCAGGATCTAAATTCGTATACTTTTTAATGCCTTCTACTAGCCTATCTTGGAAAAGGGCAGGGTTTTCCTTTTCTTCCTGAGTAATTCCCTTAATCTTTTGAAAGTTTACCTGCTTTTGAAATGCTGTTTTCAGGCCTTCTAACAGGCAAATTATCATGTAGTCCCTCTTTCCCCTATCCTCACTCTTCTGATAATCCCACCCAGGATCACTAGCAGGAACAGCAGCTGTTCCTGGGGGGTATTTTGTGCGGTCATTACTAGCCAAACGATCCCCAAAATGTTGGGCTTGTTCCCAGATTCTCTTCCTCTCCTCAGGGGTACAACAGGTGGAGAAGAGGACATGCAAATCACCCCAAGAAAGTTCAAATTGTAGGGACACATCCCTGAAGCCCTCAGTAAATTTAGTTGGATCTTCAGAGTATCAACCCAGCCTTTCGTTAATCTGGGTGAGGTCTGAAATGGAGAATGGAACATGCACCCTAAGTGTCCCATTAGGAGAGGCAGGTACTTCCCTTAAAGGAAAAAGCCCTGAAGGCCCTGCGGGAGCAGGGGCTTGTGGGGGAGGGAGGGAGGAAGTCCCACTTCTCCTCAGTGAGGGACTGGAAAGTGCTGGCTGAACTGGCAAGGCCGAAGAATCTGGCTGGCAAGGGGGAAGATTACCTGACACCAGAGGAGGGGGAGGGATCAGGGGAGAAGATGCCATGGAGATACCCTTGTCTGGAGCCTGAGGAGGGGTCCCAACCGAAGGAGAGGTCTGGGGAGGAGGCACTGAGTTGAGAATCTCGTCCAGAGCTTGAGCTGGGGTCTGTCTGGAAGTAGAGGCTAGGGCGAGGCCCTTGCTCAAGGCTTGAGTAGAAGTAGCCTCTGGAGCAGGGGCCTGGGGAGGAAATGGAGGGACCAAAGGAACAGAAGGGAGGGTCTGGGGAGAATGGGGAACAGCTGAAGAGGCCAGAGGAGAATGGGGTGGAGATAGGTGCTGGGGAAGCGGTGCTGAGGGAGGTTGGGAAGAGGGGGATGCCATAACCCTAGGAGCCATAAGAGGATCATCCAAAAGGTCTATTTGGTCCCCACTCACCACTAGTGGGGTGGCTCTAGCTATGAGCATCTTGCAATCCTTTCTGAGAACGGGATCTCTAGAAAGCTCAACAAAAGCCATTAAGTAAGAAATCACCCATTTTCTTTCTCTGCAACAATATTTTTCTACCTCTGAGAGGGTCTTTACCTGTAATGTCCCAAAAGGGGGCCGTGCCTCACAATTTTCCAGGTGATACTGAGGCCAAATGATGTTGCAAAAGTGCATCAGCTTTTTCTTTTTAAGTTCTTTACAGAAGCTAAGATTTTTCCAATTTAGTAAAAGACAGCCCAAAGGCAAATTCTTGGGAAATGAAAAGGATTGACCTATTGTGGGCTTAGGGAAAAGAAAAAAAAAGGAAAAGAAAGAAAAAAAATATACATCCAACAGTTTCCCAATTCCCTAGCGTGGAGAGAACTGACAAGTTTGAACCTATGCTTCCTGATAGGGAGTCCATCCTCTATGCTAAGAAAGGTATATATTCCAGGTCCAAGTGCTCAAGCAGAGGCACTGAACCAAAAAGCCCGAGAACATCAGGCAGAATTGGGGAGGAGGAGGCTTACTGATGGGGCGGGGCCCAAGCCAAGATCTTTGCCCTTTGCCCCAAAGGGAATCTGACTCACAGGCCCCAGACCCTCATCTCCCTTGAAAGCCCTAGCTTACCTTTAGATCTTATTCAGATGCACCTTCAACCCTTGCCCTGAATAGAATCTGGCTCCTGTTTGTCTACAGGACCCAGAAAACCCTTAAACCTTCAAATTTCCTAATCAACTCCCCTCATCTCCCTTTGAAAGCCTTGGCCTCCCTCTTGTCTATAGGCCCCAGAAAGGCCTTCC